TATTTATAAATATATGTGTGTATATGCACACACATATATAAAACACACTATATAAATAAAAACAGATAATATATATTATTTCAAATATACATAGACTACTTACAAAAGTAGACCTTGTTTGAAGAAATAAAAGAAACTTAAATAAATTCCAAAGAATTACTATGATACAGAATATATTCTCTAAACAATGCAATAAAGTTAAGAATGCATATAAGTAAAGCTAAAATAGTATGTTTTGAAACAAAGTGATAGTTATTAATATGTTATATAAATCTTTAAGTTTACAATAAAATACATTATGATATAAAGACTACAGATCAAGTTTATGGGGCATAGTTAATATTTAGAGGGGAAATTAATAACTTTAAAAGCAGAAATATAAAAGGTTAAAGACAAATGAGCTAAATATTCAACTCAAGAAGGTGGAAAGTGAGCAATGGAGCAAGCCTGAAGAAATATAAGGAGAAAAATAATAATGATGAGGGTTTGAAATCAATTATAAGGATTAAAAAAGTGGAGATTAAGAAAACTCATAATTAGTTCTTTGAAAAGTTTAATAAGATAGGCCTACTTCTGACAAGACTCAGTGAAGATAAATAAAAAAACAACAAACCGAAAGAAAAGAAGAAAATAACCCCACACTCTAAAAAGATTTTTAAATACACATATCCTGAACAAATACTTTTTGAAATCCCAGGAGTGGACAAATTTTAAAAAAGTATATAAAATGCTTTTTATGGATTAATAAATAGATTAATGAATATAAAAGAAATTGAAATATTAGATAAAGCCCTATCTTGACGGAAATTTCATGACTCAGATGATTTTATAGGTATCGCCATTCTTTTAAGAAACATTTGATTCATATTTTATACAAGATTTTGCAGAAAATAGAAAAGCAAAAGCTGCCTAGCTCATTTTGAGAGGCTAATTTCATCTTAATCTCAAAACCAGTGGAGAATAATACTGGAAAATTAAATTATAAATTAATTTCTCTGATGGACATAGAGTAAAAAAAAATATATATATATATATATATTAGCTAGCTGAAGTTAACAGTGTGTTAAAAATGAATGCATTATGATCATGTGGGGTTTATCCCAGGACCAAATCCATGAAAATGAACCAAATTAATAAACCACAGGAAAAAAGTCAACTGATGCAGAAAAAGCATCTGGAAAAGTTCAATACATTTATTATTATAAGAAAAAAAACCCTTCATAAATGAGAAATAGGACAAAATAACTTGGTAAAGACTGTCTAACAAAGAGTACAGCACACATTAGTGGAGAAAGTGGACATTCAAATCAAGGATTTCCACAGCTACTACTAGTGCTTAAGATAGCATTAGAGGTCCTGGTCAATGCCACAGGAAAAGGAAAACAGATAAGATGAAAGAAGATTAGAGAGGGAAAGTACTTAAAATTGTCATTTACTTAGAAAAAAAATAAGCAGAAACTGCAAACTATTAGATCTCATGAGAGTTTAGCAGGAGTTCGAGACATCAGATCAAATGACAAAAATCAAAACTTTATGATAAGGAAGCATCACAAATCAACGGGGCAAAGTGCCCATTATTTGGTAGATGTCTTTGAGAAAACTGACAGAGCACATGAAAAAAAAAACAAAACAATCAACCCAAAACAGTAGATTCTTACCTAACACTAAATACAAAGATGAATTCCAGGTGGATTCAAGATATACATGTGAAAAATAAAATTATTATGTTAATAGAAAAAAAACTGCAGGGGACTGTGTGATCTAAGGATGAGGAAGGACTTCTCATTCAAAAGCACAAATCATAAGGCAAAAAATAATTTGATTACATCAAATTCAAAGGATTCTATTCAATGAATAACACTATGGGAAAGTTATCAAGCAGACGATGGACCAGGAAAAATTCACTGACGATGTCTAAAACCAACACAGCAGTACAGTCTATAATATACAAGGAGTTATGCTCATCAACAGGAGAAAGACAGATATCGCAGTAGAAATGGGTAAAGCATGTGAAAAACGGTTTATGGAAGAGGAAGTCCTAGAGGCATCCAAGTGATGTTCACACTTGTTAGTAATCAAAGAAATGTCAATTAAAACAACCATAAAATGCCACTTGACACCTTTTCAAGTGGCAGAATGAGGACACTGTAAGATGCTGTGTCACATAGGAACCCCGACGAGAGTGTAGACAGTCACAGTCATTGCTCCCTCCTTGACAGCCCCACAGATGTGAGGAGGAGCCTCTTAGAATTCAGAGTCCAAAGCATCTTAGGGACTATCCAAGACATCACAGCTGAAGGAATGAGGCCCAGAGATCCTATGCATACAGTCCAAAACTGTCACCCAGCCACTTAGA